AGGGCTGCTGCTTGGGCCTTCTCCGTGGCTGCGGGCAGACCTCCTGCTTGGGCGACACCGGGCTGTGTCCCCAGGCGCCTGGGGCTTGTCCGTCCGGAGGCGGACTTCTGGGTGCGGACACCAGCTCCTCCAGCCCCGGCCCCGCCGCCCCTGCGGGGAGGGGAGCTGCGGCCCTGGAAGCCCAGCTCTTTGTACGCTGGGCCCTAGCTGTCTGGGCAGTTTTCTTCCCTGGTGGTTGGGAGGGTCTCAGGAGGTCTGTGGGGGCTTCAGAGGGGTGCCGCCGGGCTCTCCACATCTTCAACACCCTCAAGAACCCCTACAGCATTCCTGGACCTCAGTCCAACTTCTCAGCAGGCGAGGAACCCGGGACCCTAAGCGGGGATGGGCCTGGCCATCCCTGGATACAGACTCTTTGTTGGGCTGGGTGGGGGTGGAGGCTGATGACCTTGTGACTGGCACCTGGTTTGACAGCAGTGTGGCCTGGGGGACCCTGTCGCAGGTAACTCTCATCCTTCACCTCCTCCGTCTTTCCTGGGGCTCCCCACTGACTGGGCTTCTGGTGGTCCACCAGGAAGGGGACAGTCCCAGGGGCTCTCCCTGCCACTTGTCCTGCTGAGTCTCCCATGAGCTTCCAAGGTAACAGTGCCTCAGGAAGGGGGTGAGCCAGACTGCACGCGTGAGTGAGACACATGACCACACAGGAGTCGTGCATGGCACCCACCAGGTTGCCCACACAGTGCTGCAGCCCCAAACCCCACTTCACAGCCGACAACCTTCTGTCATTGATTCTTGGTGCCTCTGGGTTGAGACCCACAGTCATGTCCCAGCTAGCTTCTGCCCCCTCCAGGGGGTTAATTCTAGGATCATAAACTAGGTGTGACTTCATTGAAAATCAAATTTAAGTCTTAAGGGACATTCCCCCCTCCCCCTACCCTCACCAAACCCTGAGCCTGGCAGTGGGGCAAATGCATCAAAGCCACCTCCCTGGGGTCCATGCTGGGCAGCCAGCAGCTCTGCTCAGGCCTCGAGGAACTGCCCACTGTGGGGAGCAGCCTCTCCCCTCTGGCCTCTGCTCTGGTGTGGGTCTCTGACCATGTACTGTCCTGGGATGGGTGGCAGATCACCCTCCCCTAACTTGTCGGGTACCTACACATCTGCCCCCTTCACTGTCCCTGAGACAAACAATAGGTACTGGAGCATCTCGCCCATGCCAGAGTGAGGGGTTAGCCCCTGGAGGGCTTGACACATTACTGGGTTTGGTGTTTTGTGGCTCACAAAGGTGCTGGGTGCTGTGGGGGAACTGAGGCCAGGACACAGAGAGCCAGGCAGGGGCGCAGGGGAGGTGGCTCTGAGTGAGACCTGAGTAGGGGCTCTTGTGCCCCTGAAAATGAACACGAGGGGGCCCTGACTTGACCCTTGCACTGTTCTGCTTACTCGGTGTGCAGGGTTTTTTTGAGCACCTACTGTGTGCAAATGGCTGGGCCATGCACAGGAGTGGTGTGGTGAGCCAGACAGCTCCTTCCATTGGAGTGGCCAGTCCAGAGGTCAGGGGGAGCCCACTTGGGAGGTGGGACTGGAGAGAGGGAATCAGGTGTAAGCTGAGGCCTGAGGAAGGAGCTGGGGGGAGGGACCAGCGCCATCACTTGGAGACCCAGCGCTAAGTGCTGCAGGCAGGAGTGGGGAAGACAGGGAGGGACAGTGACAGGACCTGTGATGAGAGAGGTAGCCTGGCCTGCTCACTGAGTGGCCTCTGAGAAGCCACAGAAGGATCACTAATACGGTAGATTGGTCAGTGCAGTTGACACCAAGAGGGTGGAACATTCCAGCAAGACCCAGGCTTGTCTCACTCAGAAGGACCCTCAACAGCAGTGCTCTGCCGTTTCCCTGGACTTCTGTGTCCCTGTGGCCATGGCCAAGTGTGTGGGTATCTCGTGGTGTGCCTCTCACATGTGTCTTCAGGACTTTGGTTTCAGGGCCTGAGGCCTGAGAGGTCAGAGTGAGTGGCCTGCTGGGAACTTGGACAGCTCATATGGCCAGGAACACGGTTAGGGCTTGGGGCCAGACCCAGTCTCTCAAGCAGGGAGGTGCCCATTCTGTACCCTGGGCATGGTGGTTACTCAGGAGGGGTGCAGCTGGGGGAATGAGTGTGGTACCATCCCTGGAGGCCTGGGTGGGATGCAGAGTACTCCTGGGGGTGCTGTGGAGCAGCTGCCTGAGCAGAAGTGAGAGGACAGGTGAGCCCGGACTCCTGGGGAAGACCCACCCACCCCATGTGGGGGTCTGAGGGGGGGGCTGTCCTGGAGAACAGGGCCAGGTTAGGGTCCCCATGGGGCAGGAAGGCCACCAGGGCTTCTGCCGCTCTTGTTGGGGGCGGAGGCTGGTGCTGGCCTTGCTGCTGTGGTTTCTGGGCTGAGCCCCATCTATCCAATCATCCCGAGCTTATGGAGAACCCACTGTTTGCCAGGCTGTGCAAGGCCCGGGTGCGCAGAAGTGGGTAAGCAAGACCCCTGCCCTCTCCAGGCTTAGTCCCTGGAGTTTGAGAAGGTGCTGCACCAGAGCAGGGAGGTGCAATGGCCTGGGGGCCGCAGGGAGTCCTGGTCTGGGGGTGTGGAGGCTGAAGCCAAGTCCTGCTTCTGGGTGGGGAGCAGAGGGTGAGATATCCCAGCGACTCCCTGGAAGTGGGCACTTGTGTGGCACAGCAGTCACTCGTGCAAGCCTCACGGCCTGGGCAGCCCTGCCCTCGGGGCCTCTGCAGCACCTCCATCCTTGGAGGTAAACAGTCCTGGGACCCTGGGGCCACCCTGACGAAGCTGCATCTGGCATCTGCTCCCTATGGGACCCAGGCTCCTGTCTCTCTGAGTTCCTGGGCCTGGCTCAGGTCTGGGCAGCTGTGGCAGGTTTGGGAAGAACGGAAGAGGGGATGGGTGGTTGGGGTCTTGACACTGCTACCCTGGACCTCAAGAAACCACAGAGCCCCACCCTCAGACAGAGCTGCCCCCCTTGGAGGGCAGGAAGCTTTAGACCTGGAGTTCTCAGGTGGGTCCTCTCTCTAGCTTGGAGCTGTGGTTCCTGCCAGTCCCCAGCCTCTGCCCCTTCCTGTGAGAGATGGGGGTGATGATGGTACCTTCCTAACAGTTGTTCTCTGGAGACTATATGGGGGAGGGAAGGGGCTGGCATCTTGAGTGGAGGCTGTCAGCAGTCGCTCGTACCTGGGAGCTGTTGCTGTTACGGTTACCTGTATTGTTGGTTACCTGCACTATTACTCTGGCCGCAGGTATTTAGGGGCATGCTGAGAGCTCTGTCAAAGTCCTCAGGGCTCCTCAGCCTGCTCCTGGAGAATGGGGTTCCCCACCAGGAGCACGGTGGCCCCTTACCTTCAGGATCAGAAGACCCCTTCCCAGGTGGCTTCCACTGCCCAGCTCTTGAGCACAAGCTGGAGCCACTGTAGATAATGTCACCATTTGCAGAAAATGCCACTACTGAGTAGTAGTTAATAAATGTGGCCCTGGCTGGTGTAGCTCAGTGGTTGGAGTGTTAGCCTGCGCACTAAAGGGTTGCAGTTTGATTCCCGGTCAAGGGCATGTTCCTGGGCTGCAAATTCAATC